TCACACCTAGGTTTTTGATTAGAAGTTCAATCGACCCCACCCTATATACCTGTATATGGTTATATAATCCAGGCTATTACTTCATCGTATAACTAGGCCAAGTGAACACAGTTTTCTTGTTTTTTTTTTTTAACGAAATTTTGTTCTTTTGTTTCGCAGGGGAGGGCGAACAGAAGGAGCAGCTGCAAGACGTGGAAGATCAGGACGTATCGTAACTCTAACTGTAGTGAGTGTTATCATGCGCATATAAAACTGAGAAAAAACACAAGAAAGCAAAAAACTCTTAATAACTTGTAAGCAAAAGAAAAAACAATTCAGCAGGTGGCAGTTCGGGGTGGGAAGGGGAGATCTTTAGCGATTGCGTGACCCTAAGCACGCATGTACGGTTACTCCAAACAAACAAAACAAAAAAAAGTAATTCGAATTATAAAATAACATAAACACACATTGAGTTATACGGAGCGCGCAGAAATGTAAGAAAAAGAAAAAAAGGGACTCGCACCCTCCGCGGTAATAGAGAGAATGCAAGAGCATTTAGAGGGGGCACTATTCTTTTGCCTTCTTCGAGAAGAAACAAACAAACAAAAAATGCTGTCTTCAACATTATGCATGTCCGGTCAAAATTCGGTGGGCGATATCGAGATAATGTTCAGTGGACGCTGATTAACGGCGTTTATAATGCAGGATGTTCGACATAAGTTGAATGAAGTTTCAAGGGGTAATTCTGTACGAGCAGATAAGACGAATGTGAACAGTGATAACATTGTGATTTTGAGGCATCTTTTTTTTGTTGTAAACATTTAAAAAATCGTCCAAAAGATCCCTGAAGGAATTGTTGAACTTTGAGGATGTTTTAGGTTAGCTTTTAAATTCTTATAACCAAAAAAGGAAGCCTCAATTTTAATTTTGTTACTCTTGATGTTCGTTTCATTGTACAGGATCATACCTTAAAATTTCCATCACCTGCTGTCGGACACTCTGTGCACATCATCAATGATAATAAAAGAAGAAGAGATTACGCGTCAGTTCGCCGGAATAAATTCTCATTTCTCGTTTCAGTGAGTGAGAACGAATATGTAACATTGTCAAATCACGTTTCTCGGAGAACCTATAATGATTGCTCGACGTTGATCGAAGTGTATGCATATTGTGTTCGTTTTCTCACCCACCCTTCAAAATCTCCTCCTCCTCGTCCTCTTCCCCGCTTTTTTACTGCGCGCATCATTGCTCTCGCATACTATGAATACGAGTAACGATATTAATTAATGTATGCGTGTAAAATCGAGTGTAAATCATCCGTTTATCTAAGGGGATAAACGCGTCTCTCCTCCATCAGAGTGAAGTTGTCTGGTTGGTTGCTGGCCATGATGGCTGCTATCGTGCAACTGTACAGCTTTATCTCTGTTGTCTCTTGTATAAGAATTATCAATGAATATACTTCCGAACGAAGTGTCCCGATTCACAAAGCAGGTAATTTTCATACACCGTTGCGTAGTAGGTCTTGAAGCATGGGCTCTCTCGTGTAGTAGTCACGTTTGTAAAATGAAACATTAAGAGAAATCGATCGCGCTTTTAACCCGCGAAAGCGTTGTACTTAAAAAAAAAAAATGCAATAACATCGGTGTCCGTCATTTAAGTAACTGGCTTTCGCAATACAGTAATATCTCTCACATTATCGCTACTCGAGCTCCCCTCACACTGTCGCCTAGCTGCTTCTACGCCTAGGCATTCGCTGTCAAGCATGCGAAGTGTGTAATGCGATGCACGACCCTGTTCTTTTGATGAGAGTTCACTACTTGGCAGTTCATAATACAATAATATAACTTTTCTAATTTTCCTTTTTTCTAACTGAAAATTGGTTTAATATATTGGTGTGATTTTTCCGATTAAAATGAGGTCAAACGTGATATAATTTGGACCACATTGTCCACGAAACCTGCCCCCCCCCTCCAAAGTGTCGTTTCGGCCCAGTTTCTCCCTTCACATTGACGCTGAAACCTAGTCTCTTCCTTCATATTGTCGCTGTCACATGGGCCGTGCCTTCAAATTTTCCAGGCACAGCTTATGCATTCGACGGAAAATGTGAAGGCACAGCTTAAATTCGACGGACAATGTGTACAAATATTTTATGTATTTTTTTAGCAATCTGTTTTTATAATTTATTCAAAGCGATAATGAAATCCAATGAGTTACTCAATAAGTATTAATAAGTAAGTGTTGTTCAAATTATATCGTGTTTGGTCTCATATTTTAATCAGAACAATCTCATCAATATGTTAATAACTTTTTCATACAGAAAAAGTTAAAAATAAAAACACTCGTGTTTAAATCGCTCGGTTGCCTCGAACTTCGTTTCATCCTTATCCTTTATTCGTTGTCCTTGTCTTCGTTCGGCAAACTACAAAGCGGGCTGCGACCCTCGAAAACCGTGTCTCTCCTAACCCAAACTGACGCCTTTCGGTTCCTACCAGAGCGACAATGTGAGAGATATTACTGTATACAAATTTTTTCGTTAAATTTTGCAACAAGAAAACAATAAAATTTTTAACGTGAGTGAGAAAAGATGTGTATACCTATTCTTACAGATGTTCTTTCACACTCAAACAATTACACTTGCGCGCTTCTTCCGCGACAAGAGGAGCATCGAATATCGACGGATAGAAGCGTGGAAAAAAATGAAAGAAAATCATGGTAGATGAGCTTTTTTTAAATGGAAAAGGAAGACACAAAAAACATGGTCATGTTTCAGAGACAGGAATAAAAAAAAAAATTTGCAAAAAACCATCATCAAGTAGCTATCTAGCTAGTCTGTAATTTGTGGTTGTACTTTTTCATATGCCTCCATGTGTAAACTATAAACGATCGCTGTGGTATAACGAATTACAGAATAAACGATTGTATCCCGACTCTTTCTTCACCCGCGCTCACTTTCGCTATCACTGTCCTCGATTCCACTTGTGTATCATTAGTTGATGATTAGCCGTGTGCGTCCGTTCACCTTTTTATCGATGAACCATTCCGTCGATCTCCGCTTACGAAGAAACAAAAAGAGAAACATTCCAATGAGAAAAAGAAAGAAAAACGCTAGAGAAGATTTGTGTTCGTCTTTTAGATACTGTACGCGAAATTTTATTGTGTTCGCGCATTCTTAATCCTGAGGTTAGGTTAGCGATACGATGTAGAGCAGTATATTCGTGTATGTAAATAGTGTTGGTCGAAAATTTATGTTATCTGCATTATAATAAATGTATCTCTACGTGCAATGTTTCCGTTTCACACAAACAACAAAAATTCATATTCATAAGTTTCTGACCGCCACTATGTACAGACATAAGCGTAACCGAATTTTGGCGCAGTTTTCTCTTGCAATCACGATACCGAGGATGATCACCGTGCTGTGTAAAAAGCGTGCAGCAAAAAAGCGAGGTATATATGCTCGAAAGAATGAAAAAGTAGCAAAGAGAACGCGCAAAAAAGAAACGAAAATTCGAGAGTTCTGCCTAGAAGTTTTTTGGTGTACATCGTGCCCTCCCCCTTGTATTTAGGTATTAATAACACAAATACAAATCGATAATCATGTTATAAAATAACGTTACAAAGAATAACTCAAAGTAATATCAACGGCACCCCGTAAGTAAGTATATTGCGACTGTAATCTTAAGATCGTAAAATTTAGGGTATCAAGATGGAGAAAAGAGAAAAAGAATTTAATCGACGCGAATCGTTCAAGCGATAATGTGGAGAGAAGCGAACAGTTTAGAGCGTATCGTCGAATGAAATATGTAAACACACACACAGACACACATACACAAATGCAACACACTGAAGTAAACTTCGCGTGGAACACCCGTGAAGTTAGTTGTGAGAAAAAGAAAAATGAATGACAAGTGACAGAATAAAGTAAAGGTGAAATCATCGGATAAGAATTGCATATATATTATACATATAGTAAATACGTAATATGAGTATAATATACTGCGCGTATGAGCGAAACAAGTTTTTGGAAGAAAAAAAACGAGGTGAAAAAGAACAGAGAAATTTAGGGTATAATAAAGAAAAAAAAAAAGAAAAAATGTCAGTGGCAAAGAATGTGGCGTATATAAAGAATGAATTCCAAACGACGATAAACTGTGAGATACCTCATCCAATTACTTGCTTACACGATGGATTAAAAACAAGATGAAGTAGCCCAACGCGATAACATTATTATTATCGTCGACGATGTAGCGTGTGACTCATAATGACAAGAAAAAATAAAATAAAATACTTGTAGAGTGTTCCAGGCTAAAGTAAAACAATTGTAGGTAGACATTGACACCATCTGGGTTTCTCGTAGGATTTATTAAGGAAGATATATAGGTGATCGGTGTATCAATTGAGACATGCTTTTATCCTTTATTCTCAGTATCGTTGTGCGTGCTTAGTCGATTTTTATAAAAAAAGAAAAAAAGAAAATCAAGGACAAAGGAAGAAAGATGAAAGAATAAAAATAACACCCACACAAAAACACAGAAACACATCTATTATTCCATCTTTCTAGATGTATTATTATTATTACTTGCTCTTATCTCTGTATTATAAATATTAGTTGTGTATTCCCTCTCTCTCTCCCTCTCTCTCTCTCTCTCTCTCTCTCTCTATAATTATCTTCAGATCATTCCATCTTGTCGCTAACCCAGTTCACGAGAGCGAATAATTAGACCTGGATATCGAAATTTATCGTCATTTGGAGGAGACACAACAAAAAGAAAAAGAAAAAAATTTGTTTTTCCCTTTTTTCGAATTCGTAATGCGTTCCCACGCTCTGTACTATTACTACTACTCTACTACTACTACTACTATTACTTACTACTACTACAATCAATGCGATTACACAGGATACGACCTTTTTCTGTAAAACCACACACACACGTGAAAGCTATAAATAAAGTAATTACAACTCTCTACTAATTTCATTGGTTCTTTATTATTGTCATTACATGTTAAATTTTCAAAGTACATTAATCGATACATAGTTAATAATTAAAATATTCTTTGTATTCCAGTGTCATGAACGCAGACTATAAATTCACACATAAACATGTATAAAAATGATCCTTGTTATTACAGAGTGAACGCAAGTATAAAATACAAGTATCACATTTATAAACGTTAATCTATAATTCAGTCGAAAATATTCGTCATATTTGTTCGCTTTAGAAAAGAATTTCTGAAATCGTATCATTCGTACTTGGTGACTCAATCTGTTGCCCGTATATCGATCGATAAATTACAAACATGATAACTGAATTCCACTAAAAACAGTACACGTTGCAAAACACTCACACAATCGCGGATTGCGAGCTCCTATCTATCGTCCGCGTTTTGCAGCTGATCTCTCGCGAAAATTCGACGTGCTCGAGGACAAGAGACGGCGGGACACGCGTTTGTGAGCATCCACCTGTTTCAGGATTCGTATCAACAAGTTCTCTGCGCCCGTTATAATCGGCGAGAGGCTAAGGTTCGGTGCAGTGCGCGATTTGATCGTTTAGGTGTTAGTTCTGCGCCTGGCAGACTTCAGTTTCACGCTGCGAGCATGTCCAGGGTGACCGCGGGGCCTCTTGGCTCCGGTATGGTGTTCCTCCTGTTCTCCTAGAATGTTTGATTTATTCTTTTCAATATTTTTTATTATACGTTCCAGAGATTAATTTTATTTTGAGAAATTTGTTATTTAAAGTCCAATGTTAAACGGTCTGCAAGGTTTTCAGAGGCCTCTGATGATATTTTCCAGACGCGACGATCACCTTGGATTTTTAAATAACCCGCAAGTATCCGGTTGAATGACAACGAAGGCTGAGGAGAAACAATTAACCAGACTGAAAATCGTGCCACTTTCGCGCCGTCCTCACACTTAAAAAAAAACCTTCTGCACAAAACTTCAGATTTTAATCATTAAGTATCCCCTTGTCGTATTCTATAGACATTAACCCTTTCATGATCAGTGAGACGCGTATGTCCCACTTAAGTACTTAAAGAAACATCGATCTCAATTTAGTATCCACTCGATGATCAATAGATAAATAAAAAATCCTTTAAAATAACAATCCCGTCAGGAAAGGGTTAAAATACTAAAATCTCTCAATTTTACATAAACAAAAATTGTGTTTTAGTGTATTTTTTTTTAAAGAAATGAAAGAAACAAAAATTCTCATGAACATCTGAATCATTTCTCTATCCACCAACTGTATCAAACCCTAATATTCCAGAGGCCAGGTATCTCCTCTATGCCACTCGTTCCATATACTCCAATTAACGAGACCATCCTCGTGAACAATACTCCGGATTTACCTTAACGTTTTGCAGTGCTTATTTTAGGGGCACCTTCAGCAAATCCTCGACGGTTATAGCCGGCCTATTAAGCAGTGGTGTCGAGCACTTTCTCGAGGGCATCCTGATGCTTCTGCTATTCGGAGTGGTCGGCACAATCGGCTGCGCTGGCGACTGTAACGATGGAAATGGAGGTGGTGGTGGAGGATGCCCCTCCACAGCGTGGAGAACATGAAGATCGATGGCACTGCGGGGTGGTGGATGCGGTGTATTCTTCGGGAATTTGGATCGACTATCCTCCAGTGTTTGATACAGCCTTTACAGCACCTGTGATAGAAACAGAAAAAAAGGAAAAAAGAATACTAATGAGACGGAGATTAATTCCGTGACCGGCGAGTAGCGTTCGAGAATTGCTAATGAAAGATTACGATACTTCCGCCGCGACGCGTGCACCTCTTTTTACTCGATAGAAACACGTGAGAACGTGATTGTGGTGTCTTTTATGGAATTTTCCTGTTTTCCAGTCTTGGTATCGATTTTACCATGTCATTCCGAATAATATAGAATAGTTCATTTTAAAATGATTTATGTATTCAATTTCTTCAGTTCTTTTCTCTTTTGTAATTATTAATATGTTTAATTAAGGAACACATCGTGGAATTTGACGATTTTTTCCAAGTTTTTCTCTGAGATTTTTTAACAGAGAATTTTATCTCTCTCGGCGTCTTAATTTTTCAAATTCTACTTTACAGCGTTTGTTACGATTTCTGTGGATTATCAAACGGCAACCGTCGCGATTTGCGGAGAATTGCAAATGAGAGATTACGACACTTCCGGCGCGATGCGTGCACCTTTTTTTCTATTTCGCGTAGAAACGTGTTCGTTACTTTCATAGACTCTCTCATTATTACTTTTCTCCTTCACGTTGCATCATTCGTATGTCAATTTTTGTGAAGCATTAAATAATTAATACAACATCTGAGTGAGTTCATTGACTTTCTCCAGAAATGTGTTAATCATCTGCTTGAGCTCCTCCATTTGCCGCCTCGTTGAGGAGGACGTTGAAACCGCTCGTTTAAAACCTTCATAACTCAAATACAGTTGTTAATTGGATAATAACCGCAGATCGTTCTCTCCGGCAACCATAAGCTTACCTTTCCAACTATACTCGCCATTTTCTTTATCAGCCAAACGTAAAACAAAACGACCTTAGCAACAAGCTTCTTAAAGGATCGTTTTCTTGGAGATTTCTGAACCCTCTGGAAACTGGTACAGAAGCACATCTTTCAAGCTGTGAATAATAATTCATGCAACATCATTTCCTTCCTTACGACGTCAATCAAGCAACAAATATTTGTATCATTTTTATTTATAAAAAGTCACGAACTTTTGATGAAAAACAAATTTATACCATTTCCAAAGTAAAAGAAAATCTCCAATTCAATGTTACCAGTGATAAATAAATTACTTCTTGCAGAAATCTGCTGTAGCCTCTAGAATCAGACACAACGGGAAGATCCAAGATCGAATTCGTTGGTGATTTAGTGCTGCCACTAGTTCAAGAAGGCATCTTTGTGATCGTCGAGTTGGAATAGAAGCAATTCTGAACGTTTTTCTTTTCGACTGGTAGCAAATCAGCTACAGTTACTGAAGCTGCAGGTTCTCGTTGCATTTCTGCTTCCTCTTCGTTGTTGAATTTCAAGGTGGTTCGACATCGACATCTCTTCGACATCCACTGCAAGGAATCGTCAAACGAGCCCCGATTCTCGTAACATTACTCTTCATCTCTCTATAATTATTTCGATCATCAACTTTATCATCGATTTTCTCAGTCTCCTCGAAAGGTTGTTTATTGGTACATCCATTGGAATATTCCTCCGAAATGATCGACGGAAGAGTATTGTATGACAAGAAGCTCGTGTGTAACGATCTTGTCTCGTCAGATTTTTTGTACTTTTGCAAAAAGTTTCCGATACATATTTAAGTTAGCAGTGCATTCTCTCCAGTTGCTCATGCTGGGACTTCTGCTGAAATCTTCAGGATTTTTCTCGTTGATTATCTCGAATTTGGTTTCCTGTTCTTGTTCATTCCATTTCTCGTCCTTTTTCTTCAAGTCGACTGGTAAATTAGCAGGAAGAAATAGCTGATTGAAATTTGTCGAGAAATCGATGGAAGATCAGAAATTTGTTTCTCCAATTTTGTCTTAAAATTGGCAAATTGAGCTGGTTCTAAAACGTATCTGCAAGGAAAATCGTACGATGTTTTCGAAGAACGTATGCCATTATTAGAGACGTCAGAGCAAGTCTATTTTTTGAAAAAGATTTTCCTTCTTGCAAAGACTGACGGCCATTCATGTCTAATTTTATCTCGTCATTCACGAACAGAGATCCTACTTTTACTTCAATCCTTTTTTTTTTTTTTACGTGGGGGAAATCTTGCATAGACACCCGCCTCTTCTGGAGGGGTAGTGTGAGATTCTTACCCACTAAAACCCCCATGGCTACCCTCAACAGGCATGTTCCGAAAATCATTTTCAAATGCGTTCGGGTATCCCCCCTCCTCTGCTTCAACCCATTCCGGTTCCTTTTCTGGTACTCCTTTATCTCCTTCTTTATTTTTGTCCGATTCATTCAGGTCCAATTTTCTTCGATGAAGTCTGGCCACGATTTCTCGGCTCAATTAGTCATGATAAATCTGGTACTTATGATTCGAAAAAAAACAGATTCCGGATATCTCTGATGCAAAAGTCTCTCACTGGATTTTGATTTCTTTTTTAGCGGAGTGTCTTTCGTATCCAAACTGTGAGAAAGGTCAGAGTTTTGCAGTCAATTTTCTCGAGATTGAGATAGAGGTTGTTTTCGACGAGATCGTTTGTAACCCTTACGTTTTATCGTTCTGATTTCCTCTTGGACAGCTTACTGGATGGTCTGATGATTATATCAGACTATATTAATTTTTAAATGAAATATATTAACTTGCATCACGAGAATTACGTATTTCGAATATAATACCGTTGTACTTGTTTGATACACTGATAACATTATACTTAAATGGTCATTGGTTGGAATAATTGTTTATTTTGATTCTAATTAGAGGATATAATACCACAGACGAGATATAGAATAGACCACTCATCCAATATATTGTTTTGTCACACGACCCCGGCGTCCTAGAACCACAAATGAGGTACAGAATAGACTTTGCACCTGATGTATTTTTGTGTCCAACATTCTGAAATACCGATCGTGTAAAAGATCAGAGTTTTTGTTATGCCCTCTAGGATATAAAGCGGTGAATTTAGAAATTACATACAATCCAACCATCAAAGATGATAAAATCGACAGATGTAAAAAATCCTCTTTTATTAAATTTTCATATAAAGATACATACATATATTGGACTGCTTGGATAGAACTGTTCACGATGTTTTGACAGTAGTAGAACACGCGCATCTAATGAATCATCTACTAACCTCTTTACTGTGTTCCCCTTTGAAATAGAAATTGAATCTCTCTAGTTTATAATTAAAAATGAGTAAGAATTATAACCAATTACTTTCTTTTCGTTCTTGCAATGTAAATATGATGTATTTTACGTTCAATACAGACATAACAGTAACATTAAAAATGAATAATCCATCAATAAATAAATTATTGTATTCTAAGTATTGGCTAACCAATGACGAGTTAACCCGTCTTACACAATTAAGAGGCTAATAAACAATTACGTTTATACGAAGGAGAAAAAATTTCGAATTTTAGGATGAATTAGAATGGATTTTGTCACACATATTTGTGTTTCGGGATGCATGGTTGAATTGACAACACAGTAACAATGTACACATGTAATCTACATTGCAGTTCTTACTCACACTATGCAGTTCTTAAAGTGACCATTCTTAAGAGTAGAATACACTTCAAAACCAGTGGTTTTGGACGACGTCGGTATTTCAGATCATGTGACAAAAAGTCCCATGAGATGATTGGTCTATCCTATATGTCGTCTGTAATATTCTAGAAAATTTTTGGAATATTGTACTTCATGAAATTACTATGGTTATGTAAAATGAAAGGGAAAATAAAAATAATTGGTCATTTTTTGTTCAAAGAGCGTTTATTGCCAAATTAGCAAGAACAGTATTCGCGCTTCGAAGTTCGACTTCTTTTAAAACGAGGCCTACGAGTATTATTATTGAAGTAGCAAACTCTGCTTCATCTTATACGTTCCTGTACTTCTTGTTACTCTATTGCGTTAGTGGTAAATGAATTTACATATCTATGACGTTACTCTACCGATATATGAAGGATCCACCTTCCTTTTTTTTTTTTT